GTCCTCACATCTGCTAAATGAATGGTCAAACCTCAAAACAATTTGTTCTGCTTCTCAGGAACTCACTATGGTGCTTTGCTTCAGTTAATCACTTTAGATTCTGTCAGAACTATAGAAAAAGTACAATGATACACAAAATACACAATCAAATAAAACATTCTAGTTTAGTTTGATTGTACTGCCTGCTTCATGGATTTTGCACACTAGCAAGGAAACAAAAGGAGCAAACTGGCTGACTGGATTCATGCTGAAAGCCATTCAGTTATTTTTAGGACTTCATAAAAAAAAGCCTTGTTAGGTTTGTAATGTAAATTCTGAGTGAAATTTCATGATTGATTTGTATTGAATATGGCTGGCAGGAATACAGCCAGACAAACCACTGCAAACATTTGATGTTATTTGATATTGATTTGTCTGTTTTTCTCCTTGTCTGCAGATCTATAAGTACTATGCCCTGTTCAGCAGCCTTCCTCAGATTGCCTGTCTGGCTTTTCTTAGTTTCCAGTATCCACTGCTTCTGTTCAAAGGCTTACAGAACACAGAGACAAGCAACGCCTCTGAGGTGAGACTGTCAAGATGATACAACTGTCCTGATTGTGTAATAAAGGGGGGGAAAAGCTATATTAAAAGATCAAATTCTAAAAAAAAGACTAATAGGGGGTTTCAAGCATCAAAAAGTTTGATAGTTTATTTTAAAAAAGTTTAATAATCTTTTCCACTATCCTTTAAACCACTAGGTGTTTACCCATTTGTCAGAAATAAGCTTTTAATCAATTGTAATAAAAATGAGTATGATCACTTTTTCTTTATATATGTTTTAATAAGCACATGTCATAGTAAGTATGATGATTCATTTTTGCATAAATATATCTGTTACACTGCATGACGAAACATTATTTCACCCATATTTTGACATTTTAAGTTATTTGAAACATTAAAGTACACACTTTACTTGCTATATGCTTTCTATGTATATAAATTATTATATATAATATATGCAAACACCAAAATGGAATGTCTCTTCTTTGACCCACACATGTATGTATGAGTGAAGTGACATGTGGCCAAGTATGGTGACCCATACTCGG